TCAGCCCCTCTATAATTCAGTTAGCTAATCTCACATCCTTAATTAGATAAGAAAAATCCTTTTAACTTTATCCCAAGCTTGCAAGAAACACTGAGATATGTTCCAGATATGGTAAAAAGGGATACCAGACATACTATTCTGTAACTAGAACCATCTTTCAATGGGCATTTAAATTATTAATACATACTTAACACTTTGGGGGAAAGGAAGGTTTTTGAGACAGGTTCTTCTTGGTAGCACCAGCTGGCCTTGAACTTACTTATGTAAACTAGGTAAAGGACTCAAGGCCTTTGTGGATTTTTCAGCCATTTTTGTTATTGCAATTATTGCTACCATTTATGAGATCAAAAGCTGAAGACTAAGGAATAGATCAGAAGCAGGAATAGGATCTCGTGGTTGAGGGTAAGATATATCTAAGTTAACAAAAGTATTTTCAAATAGTAATAATAAATCAGCATATTAAGCTTATTCATCTTTTCAAATAATATTTGGTCTAACTTCCAAAACTTCAAATCATCTCCTCAGATTGATTTCCTGGGAGCAGAGCTTCTCTAATGGTGACTTTGATTAAACTACTATCTTGAATTCTAAAATTGATAAGGGGGAAATTCTGGTATATTCGTGGTTACGAAACACCTATGGACATCATAAAGAGCCTTCCAATCTTGGATATATAGATATAGTTTTCTGACCCCAATAAACTCATTTTAATTCAGCCTTCACTTGGCTTCTGTCTTGAGGGGCCTGGTTACAAATCATCACCAGACCCTTCTGCCAAGCACTATGCATCTGGTAATCGGGCAAGGTCTTCAGTGTACTTGAGAGTGCTTTTCAATGACAGCAGACGTGATGCACAATTATGAGCAAACAGGGAAAGTTGACATGCCAGAGATGAGATGAGGAGGCTGAATCCCCAGATCTAAGGATTCATCTCAACCACCTACATGGTTGCCAAGGAACTGGAGTGGGATCAATCTCAGCTGTAGAATTACATTAAAGTGATTAGTTTCTTTATAAGAGGCATAAATTTGACATTTTACCTAAAGTTCTTTTCATTGTTGACTTGAGGCATAGGCTACCTTTTAACACAAAGAATTCACAACCTAAGATAATGTAAACCTTAGTCCTCATGTACCTATTAGGATTTGCATTACAATAAAAAGTATTCAGATTCCCTCATTCATTCCATTAATATACAAAATAAAGGCCAGATTCAGAGGGACCTTCCTTCCCTCCTCTGTGCCTCACAACTGCAATGCTGCACAAAGGCCTGGGAATTTTAAAGTACAAATCAGTCCCACAGTTCATGAGCACACACCCTGTTTGCAGTAAGAGTGAGTATGATCCAATATCTGCTATAGAGGATTCATAAAGTGACTGGAAAGAGGGATGCCTCAACATCAAGCATGTGTGGTAGACACTGAAGAAGTGTCCAGGAGGAGTGTTGGACAGGGTGTTTCGTCCCATCTCAGTGGCTGAGTGGCTGAGCATGCAGGTATGAGGCAGACTTCCAGGATGGTGAGATGCTTGAGATGATTCTCAAAAGTGAACCAAGCTTTCAAGATAAAAGAAGTTTGGGAAAGGGTTGTAGGAGAAGAGCACAGTGTGATCACAGATGCAAAGATACGAAGCCAGAAACACTGCAGGTGTTTTAGAGCATAAAGTGTTGGGTAAAGCAGGTGATGGTATGCCACAGGTAGGGGAGGGCTAACAATCCAAAAAAGAAACTTTTGAAAAAAAATTAAAGACAGTAGTTATAGGCTTATCAAAATAATAGATTTTCCTCCAGTTCTCTGATCCTGCTGGTCTGTTGTGATACCCTTCTTTCCATGTTATTCTCTATTGTTATTCTCTGTTGCCATTTTATAACTTACTAAACCTGGTAACTTCTACTTCAGGCATGCTTAGCATTTTTATATGTCTTTACTTTGATAATCTTTGAACCTGAAACAGGCAGTTCAGAAATTGCTTTTACTAAACTCATTGACCCCTCACTTGGGCCCACAGACAAAAAACATTATGAAAGCCTGGCATCTACACCTTCATTTTGTTTCTGTGCTGGAGATATAAGGATACAGTATTGTCCTTAACCTTTCCTCTTCAGTCATCTGGAATTCCAGGAAGAACAAAACCTCATAGGACAGACAGCCTCACCTCCAGGTGTGGACGATTCTCCATGAATGTGAGGCTATAACCTCAGTGAGTAGCACATTATCAATTTAACAGCTTACCAGACCACCTTGCTCAATGCTGAGTGGGACCATGCATTGACCAGGACAGCTCAGTTGCACATGCCTCATGTCTTCTATTTATACCCTAAAGCTTGGGTCACTAAACCAGAGATGGTGTTGGGGTCACTGGATCCGCTTGCCAGCTCCTCTTTCCAGTAGGCACATTAGATAAATCTCTTTCTCTTTTGCACCATTGCTTGTCCCTTTAACAGATGTGCTGTGAGCTTAGACTGTTTGGGGAATGGGGGTGACAATGCCCTGTATTTTGCCTTAAAAATTCTGGTAAGAAATCCATCTTGAAACATGAGAGTTCTCATAGTGCTTAGTTAGCACCCTAAGTTCTCAGCAGAACAATTATGGTGTTTTGATCCTTTCTAAGCATACTCATTAACACATTTCTGTGAATTAACCCCCTTAAGTAACATGAATGACACACTTTTACCCCTAGAAGGGGCCTGACACACTTCCTCTAGCTCTAAAGACTTTTTTATGGATCAAGGGCGAAAGGCAATCCATAGAGATCTGTAACTGGCTCTGCAACCAAAAGATGCACCTTTTAAAAGACTGAGTGTAGATTTTATACAAAAAGTATAAACAGAATTATGTACTTTTTCCTTTTGTATGGGAGCAACATTTTAATGGTCCCTACCCTCTCCTGAACATGGTAGGGGAAGAGCTTGCCTGGGGATTACCCCATCCTCAGAAGGAAAGTAGGAAGGAAAGAGAGTTAAGAAACAGACACAAATCATGTGTATAACTGATAGGCAGTCCTCGTAGGATAGGAAAATGCTTGCCCTGCTTGTTTCCCTGGAAAGAGAAACCCAGAGTGGATTAGCATGCCGTCTAGCTATTAAAGACACATTTGTCTACACAGCTTCCCATGCCTTTCGTCCTTGGGACTCCTCAGGGCTCAATTTTATGATACCAATATTCTAACGCCAATCACATACCAAAGTGACTAACAGTAAATAAAATTGCCATAATGATCCTTTCTCTGAAATAAGGAAAACAGAGAGAGTAAACAAACGTTCATTTGCTTAAGGTCACAAATGCAATTAGTTGTGAACAAATGTCAATACAGTCATTTATAAGAGTTTAATGATCATATTATTTCAACCATTAATTCAGAAAAAAATAAAATTGTTTGAGACAAATCAGAGTATCAAGCTACTACAAAAGAAAATCATTTGTGAAAATGATAGAGAATAATTCTGTTGTATGGAGTTCTTTTGTTTGTTTGCCTGTTTTGTTTTGTTTCTTAAAACAGTAGGAGCAGTCAGTCTTCATAGGTCATTCAGAAAAAGAATTCTTGGGCTGGAATGTTGCTCAGTGGTTGAGTAGTAACTTAACAAGCCCAAGGCCTCTGAAAATAAAAAAAAAAAAAAA